TAGCACTTTCAACAAAGGCAAGTTATGAACTGTAGTTTCTCTATTCTGGATTTAGAAATGGTATCACGATCGTTAACCATTCCCTGAAAGTTTTAAGACACATCATCTCCAAAGCAGTTGTTCTTCTCATCTACTTGAGATAAAAATATGCAAAGGCAATACTATTTGTGCCTCTTTCATTTAGAAGATGGAAGATAACATTTTTTCACGCTGGTACATTTAAAGTAAATGGCTAGGCATGAAGTACTTGAAATTCTTAGTTTCACAACAGTGGTGTTGGCAACACAGGAAGAATGATCCCACTAAGCCAACTCTGGCATGTTTAGAGAGAGAAAAAGACGTCAATGGGGCAAAAAATCAAAATAAAACAAAATATTAAGTTCCAGGAAGGTGTGAAGCACTGTGGAGTACAGAAAAAGGCATATTAAGCACATGTAACTGGTAGCGTAAACCAAAAGGTACTGTCTGAATTAAGGTATTTTAGGACACGCTGAAAAAGTGTACATCTACTTAAAATACTCTTCACACACAATACACTGGATTTCATGTATTTCCTTCTAGCTATTTAGTGTGCTACTTTTTTTGTGTACGAAAGCTATTTTTACACGTTACATACAGATGTAGCAATAAGTGCATTCCTATGTATACTAAAGTTGAGTTACTAAAAAAAAGCTTTTAAGTGTTCATAGTGAAACACATTACGAAAAATGCTTTATCAGAAGGTCTCAGCTTACTTTATTTGCACCCACTGATTTTCAAAAAGCTAACTACCTGTCACTTTCATGGGTTCTAGACGAAAGTCTTCAAGTTAGAAGTTTAGGCAAGCCAAAGAATACATAGTCAGGAAAAACAGCTGTAGATCTAATCTTTTCAGAAGGAATCCAGAGATACTCAAGTTATTTTTTTATCTTAAGAGTACTAAAACCCATTAACAGTGGGATGGTGCTGTCTGGGACAATCTTAGGCTCTCTTGCACCCACATGCTTCTTTTTGCTGGATCTAGCAATCACGCAGCTGCACTGAGATGTTTTGGTGGAAAACTAAATTCGTAAGAGACATTTCTCTGACGATCAGTCAGTTTGTCCGAGCCTTGCCTCAGCTGCACCGTTGCAATATGGGAAGAGGAATGAGCACAGGGCCAAGGGGAGGAGGATTTATGGTAGCCAGCAGTTAAAATAGCTTCAAATGCAACTTCATACTCTCAACTCATCGCTGGGTGCAGTAAGAAGAACAAGAACGTTTGAGGTCTTTGAAGGTCTGAAGAAAAGGATGGACAGGATGTTTTTTTCTTGAATTTCCAGTTACTCTGGACTTACCTGATACAAAATATACAAGTTGCAACAGCAGCTGGAAACCTAGGAGAGCCTCTTGACTGTATGTGAGGAGCTTTACTGTAAGAAGCACACAATAAATAAAGAGTCTAGGTCTAGCTACTTCAGCTAAGGCCAGAAAATGAACTGTATCTTGTATCATCTTCGCCAATGAGCATTCAAGTTTCCCAGCTAAGTGGGAAAAGGCTTGCAAACTTATTTTTGGTCAAAACGCGTGCAAAGTTCAATCTTGCAGATAAAGCCATAGCACAGGCCTCATAGCAAAATAAACTGCAATTAATTTACTGCTACTCATATTGAAAACCATTTTATTTAACCTAAGGAAGGATATAGTTTTCTACTTGGCAACCATAAATCTAACAGACTAAACCACACTTGCCAGGATAGTGCAGTTTTTACTTGCAAATTTCATTCCTGATTTACTCATTAGACATTTTTAAAACGTATTTTGAGAGTGGTATTCTCCACACTTTCTCAGCCTAACTCAGCAAAACACAACCTAGACGATGGCTAAAAATGCATCTGGTATATCTGAAAAATCTTACCCCAAATCCACATAAATACAGTTTTAAAAAAAAAATTTAAAAAGCACCTGAAATCAATCAAATCCTTTTAGTCAGACACAGAAAATAAAAGGGGGGAAAAATATGAAAAAGGAAAGACTGGCTTAGCAAAGTATTTCTGAAGATCTGATGTGGTAACTATAAAGAACTTGGCACCAAAGCACTGTCATGAAGGAAAAGAGAACCCAAGTCAGCATGCTGCCAGGATTCATACCCATGCACCAATAAAAATGCCTTTGCTTCCCTTACTTGAAAGGCTAAGGATTTGCTGTAATTTGAAGGCTACTCATGAGGACAGCACCCTCTGTAGGGTAAAAACTCTTCTGAAGAGATTCAGCAGGGGTGCATGCATAGCTGTATATAATTACCAAAGCAATACCCCAATGACAGCATATCATGAACAGAGCTAGTAATACATCACACTATGAAAACCTCAGGTTTACTATGGTCACTAGTCAATACTGCTAAGGGTTAAGTTTGGTGGGAGTTGTTTTTTTGGTTGGTTGGTTTGGTCTTTTCCCCCCTGAGATTTCCAGGTATTTTTGCAAATTGCATAGCAAAATCACTTTTATTTTGGTAAACACCGCTAATCCAAGTAAAAATTACAAAATATTTAAGTAAATTTAGCGTTGCCATTTTGTGTTTTGTTTCTCTAGCAGCAAAAAAAAAACATAATC